TCCGTGTGCCCTCCGATGTGTGTTTATTGGATATGGCTTGAATCAAAAAGGATACAAGTGTTACCATCCTCCTACTCAAAAATTTTTTGTCACTATGGATACCACTTTTCATGAAGATTTGGCATACTTTATGGTTTCCAAGACCCCTTCTCTTCAGGGGGAGAGGGGGAGTGAAGAGAAGGACTTGTCATTTGAAGAGAATATCGAAAAAAATGCTGAAGAAAATGGAGAAGTACCCCAGGCGACTGGTCGCCACCCTACTTGCGACCGGTCGTTTTTACACAGAGTTGAAGATTCTCATGAAGTGCCCCAGGCGACCGGTCGCGAAGTGCCCCATGCGACAGGTCGAGACACATTTACGACCGGTCGTTTTTACACAGAGATGAATGCAACTCAAATTCCCCAGACGACCGGTCGTGAAGAACCAAGCGACCGGTCGCTTTTTCACAGAGTTGAAAATTCTGAAGAAAATTATGATATGTCCAGTCCTGACATCAGTGAAGACCTTGAGACTATGGAACCAGAAGGTGATCCAGATGCCCCTGATGATCAACTACAAAATACAACCCCTCTTGCCCTACCATCGCATCATTCGTCTAGTGATGAAGAAGTACTTGAGGTAACCACTGAACCACTTGTTTGCTGTTAACCTTTGGTTCATCTGGAAATGGCGATGTAAGCTTGTTTTTTAGCACGATTTTTTGCTTCCCTCTGAGCCGCAGCAGGTGATTCTACAGTATATTAAGGATTGGCTTAATGCCACTAAGGCTATCTCTGTTCCTCTTCATCAGGGTTTAGTTTATCTTCATTGGCAAGCCCCTTTGCCAGGGAGTTGTAAGGTTAATTCTGATGGTAGTTGTAAGCTTGCTCTTGGTTGCATTGGAGCTGGGGGTTTGTTAAGAGATCATGCTGGTAATTGGATTAAAGGTTTTTCTGTTAATTTGGGTGTTGGGTTTGTGATTGAGGCTGAGTTATGGGTTATTTTAGATTTTTGGTTTTGTCAATAACTCTCTTTGTTTTCTTGTAACAGGTCAATTAATTGTTTAACATTCATATAAACAAATCTTCAGCACGTAAAGAAGCCATTTGGAAAAATCTACTTGGAACTCCTGTCCAACCAACAAGTGTAGAGTGTGGCTATTTCGTGATGAGATTCATGAGAGATATAATTTATGATCAACACCTAGATTTCGAGAAGAAGGTAAAAAGGCAAAATTTTAGATATAATTTCTTTATTTTACTACGTCAACTTTTTCTTTACAACCGTCGTTTGTATCTTTATAACACGTTGGTTTTTTGGTTTATTTTGCAGTTTGGAAAGAAAAATGATAAAGTGAAGTATAAACAAGAGGATATTGACGAAGTTAGGCGTGAATGGGCAGAATACGTGAACAAGTTATTCTAGAATGATAATTGATGTACATAATATTTATTAACAATGTTAAGGTTTATTTTATGATAAACAGAGGGGCACAGCCCCAGGAAAAAAAAACAATTAAGAAACTTCAGAACAAATCAAACGGGATCTGGGGATCCCAAGCAAGTCCTCATCCAACAGGTCACTTGCCCGAGGAGGAGCAATTTCAAAAACACAAACACCAAGATCCAGATTGTAGCTCCAGTTAGCAAGCCTATCTGCGACACAGTTTATCTCCCTGTAAACGTGTTGGACCACACAATCCCCAACTTGCTTCATGAGATCACAGCAGCTAATAATTAAGGGAGCAAGGGGATGGCACTCCAAGTGCCCAGCTTTATGAATAAGCTGAACAGCCACAGTCGAGTCCATCTCCACAATTAGTTTAGACAGACCCTTTGCCACTGCCAGTTTCAGACCAAATTACTTGGAGGAGTAAGAAACAAAGAGTTGTAGCAAGATCCAGTGCTGAAGCTGAGTTTAGAGGAATGGCTCAAGGAGTATGTGAATTGCTTTGGTTGCGAAGATTGCTAAAGAATCTTGACATTAAACAAGTGAATGCCACAAACCTATATTGTGACAATAAAGCTGCCATCGAGATAGCACATAAGCCAGTACAACACGACCGTACCAAACATGTGGAAGTCGACCGACACTTCATCAAAGAGAAACTAGAAAGTAGTATAATTAAGTTTCCGTTTGTAAACTCGGAAAACCAACTTGCCGACATTCTGACGAAGGCCGTATCGAGTAAAGTCTTTCATGACTCAGTTGACAAGTTGGGCATGCGTGATATCTTTGCACCAACTTGAGGGGGAGTGTTAGTCAAGACATAAACAAGACATAGACAGCTTTCCTAAAACAAGGAAAAGCTTGTCTATCATCTCTCATACTTTTCCATGTTTACATATCCATGTTTTAAGGATACCTTTCCAGGATTTGTGTTAGATGTAATTATTAATTAACCATGTACAATTGCATATAACTCTCAAGTGAGTAATACAATTTTAGATTAGCATTTTCTGCAAATCTTCTTCTCCAAGTTCATCTCTATTCTCTCAATTACACTATCTTTGGCAGTCTTAGTAAAATCTTGCTGCATCCTGACCTTCATTTATATAGTGAATAATGTGGTGAGCCCTCAGCTCAGTATTATTGAAGAATTAAACGGTTAAGGGATGGCCACTGTTTTTGAGGTTGGAAAAAAGCTTCATTAGCATGGATTTCAAACTCAATTTTTGGTGCAATAAAAAACTTCTTGCTTACTTAACAGTTCCCTGCAAAGTTATTATAAAAACGAAGTAGCCGATTAAACAATGTAAACAGTTTATTGTGTTTTTAGCGTTTGAGGCCTTCACTGCAGCTTCCTTCACGACAAAAAAAACAAAAAAAACTTGAGCATTCTTTTTGAAGACAAAAGGAATTTGCCAAAAAGAGACGGATGAATTCGGAAAAAGAATGAAGAAACCATCAGAGCATTTTGGATATTGTCCTTCACAGCCATCAGCACATATCATTACTTAATATTCTTCTGGCAGCGCGGCTCATACATATCATAACTTTATTTTTTCTGGCCGACCAAATAAGTTAGCAGATAGTAATTTCAATCACTATATAAGCTGTGAATCAGTCTCTAATATTTCATTGTACCAGCTGCTCTTTAGTTCATTGACTTTACCGAGTCCTAGCTGCTTAATTAGCACTAGCTACAGCTATACGATGGAGTTCATTAATCAACTCTCTGGTAATGTATCTGCTTGGCATCGATCTATTGAACCTCACTTTGTCAGCCTCCAAGATGCCTCGATGTATAGATGGTTTGTTATGGACGCGTATATGCCGCCATTAATGTGAAGGAGACACATTTTGAGATTCGATACCTTCAAATATAACACAATATTTGTTCAACGAATTCAGCATATAATTCTCAAATCGGTGAAAAGTATAACAAGAGCATGAAAAAGGCAATGTAATGCCCCCCCATAAAAAAATTTCTAGCTCTGCCCTTGTCGTTGGTATATAGCTAGACTCGGTGAATAAACTGGTGAGTAGAAGCTTTATTTGGCGTAATGGAACAATTTTATGATTACGAAGACCTAGGCTATTGAGGCTTTTGAAGTTGGAACTTAATATTGGGCATGGGCGGAACTTAATATTGGTATAAAGATGCATTTGAGGGTAATGCTCATTATGTTTATTGACTAGGTATATTTTTCTATGTTTGTTAATGAAATTCACTTGTACCGTCAAGTTTTTAATGTAAATTTCGCCCGGCTGGCTTTCGAATTTTGGATCCGCCACTCATATTGGGTGCAATATTCCAAAACTTGTTGCACATTCAACAGTTTCCCTGCAATGTTATTTGAAAACAGAAACAGCCAATGAAACAATGAAAATAATTCATATATTTGGTGGTTACTGTCTAGATCATTTCCATATTATAAGCATTTCAGAACTTCCCTGGAAATTTCTTCTTCAAGTCAAACGGAATTTGCCAAAAAGAAAGTGAGGGATCTGTGAAAACAATGAAGAAACCATGCGCATTTTGGACATGTGCTATTGTCCTTCATAGCTTTGGGTCCATCAACACATAGTAGAAACCAATTATTTACTATTAATCTGACAGCAGGGTCATATAAGAACTTTTACAGGGCGACAAAATAAGATTGTATATATTATTGTTTCGGGTCACCAAGGTAGTGAAGTCAATCAGTATATAAACTGCTCTCTGATTTATTTACTTTACCAAACCCTAGCTGCTTCACAATGAAGTTCATTAAGCAGCCGAGGAGATGTGTTTGTTTGGTCTTGATCCTTATGTTGGGGACTTGGTCTAGCGAAGCCACTTCTCGCAGCCTCCAAGATACCTCAATGTATGAAAAATACGAGCAATGGATGGTTCGTTATGGACGCGAATATGATGATGTTAATGAGAAGCAGAAGCGTTTTGAGATATTCAAGAAGAATGTGGCATACATAGAATCCTCTAATAGCGATGCAAACAAATCTTACAAATTAAGTGTTAATCAATTTGCAGACCAAACGAATGAAGAAGTGAAAGCCTCAAGAAATGGATTCAAAGGGCGTGAATACTCCACAAAGACTACTTTCAAATACGAAAACATCACAGTAGTACCATCTACCATGGATTGGAGAAGCAAAGGAGCTGTAACGCCCATGAAAGACCAAGGCCAATGTGGTAAGCCTCTAATTTTTATTTTTAAGTCGGAATTATTACTCTTTTTGAATATTTTTCAGTTGTTTGTGTTCTTGATGCTATTTAATTGCAATAAAACTGATATATGCAGGAAGCTGTTGGGCTTTTGCAGCAGTGGCAGCCGTTGAAGGAATTACACAGCTTACAACTGGTAAATTAATCTCTTTGTCAGAGCAAGAGGTGGTTGACTGTGACATCAACGGCGAAGACATAGGATGTGGCGGTGGCTACCCTGACGGCGCCTTTGAGTTCATCAATCAAAACCAAGGGATTAGCTCCGAGGCTAATTACAACTACACAGGTGTTGACGGTAGATGCAACACCCAAGCGACTCATGCAGCCAGTATAACTGGTTACGAAGATGTGCCTGCAAGCAACGAGGAAGCCCTTCTTAAGGCTGTTGCCAATCAACCTGTTTCTGTTTGCATTGATGCTGGAGAATACGACTTCATGTACTATAAAAGTGGAGTCTTTACAGGATCATGTGGACTAGAAATCGATCATTGCGTTACTGCGATTGGTTACGGTGTCAGTGACAATGGCACAAAGTATTGGTTACTGAAAAACTCATGGGGAAAGGAATGGGGTGAAGAAGGGTACATGAGGATGCAAAGAGATGTTTATGCAAAAGAAGGTCTTTGTGGCGTAGCTATGTTTGGATCTTACCCCATCGCATAAATAAATTTGCCATCAAACTATGCGCATCAGCTTATAAAACTTCGTAGTCAGTTAACAAACTACCAATTTCTATGACTGGAAAAATATAAGTTGACGAGCTTCTTATAGTTCAATTAAAATTTAATCATAATTGAATCTAACCAATTGTGCTTTAGGCAGATTCTTCTGTCATTTTCATTACAACTCATGACCTTAATCAATCACAAATGTGCGGGCCAATAATCAATAACTCAGGCTTCTTGTGTATGAGGCTACTAACTCATACAACGGTATTAATGGCACTTGCAACAATAAGAAATGCAAATTTTTAGCAAGTCAACATCCACTTGACTAATAAGCTAGGCCTTCAAAGGAACCATGCCCTAATTGGCTGGCTTTTTTTTTCCCTCTCCTCTCTGAAACTGCATCATAATCCATTAACCAGACCTTCAAAGGAACCACCATGTGCGGTAACATCAACTTGGACTCGGAAAGGCAAACACCATTAATAATTTAACTACTTATTCCATGCAAAATCATTAATACAACATCCAGCGTCAAACACAACTCGCAATCCGATAAAAGTACACATGATAATGAAAACACAGAAACTAGGTAGAACTACATCACACCTTAATATTTCGCCAAACGAAATTTTGTAGGCCAACACAGGCAGTAGGTTCTTCAAGTTCTAATTGCTAGATTGACGCAACTCTGGTCGCACAAAGTCTGCATCAGCAGGCACTGAAATATCAACTGTAGGTCTCAGTTCAGCGCATACTTTAATGGCTCCATGTACTGGATCTGACATGAAGTTGCTGATGAGGTCTTGGTTGATGGGTGCACCATTATCCACAGAAACCAATGCCTGCTGAGTAAGAATGTAATCAAATCTTGGAGCCCATTTCCTAGATCCCAACCGAGCTGTTGTTGAGCAATTGTCAACCATGAAGGCAACTCCCCGAGCATGCATAAAAGGATTCAAAGAATCCACAGACTCAATAACGCTTTCATTAATGATCTCTGAATATGAATGACCCTTCTTCCTCAAGACTTCGATCTGGGTGTTCATAAAGCAAGGGAAAGAAATTATAGTTCAAAACACATACAGCAGAAATCATCCCAAGTTCCTAACAACAGCATTTATTTCTTCACAAAAAGCAACAGCATTAACAGAACTCTAACCAACCAATCAAAGTTCCCTTGAAGGACTATATAATGGAGGTTTAAGTTCCAAGACACCAAAGAACCAACAATTTACATCATGATTCATCAAATCTATGCAATAAGCATTTGAGGATAGATTTTTTATTTTATTTTGACTAGATACACTACACTTTGAGATCAGAACAAAAGGAATACCCTCTTAACATTCAAGCAATTTTCAGTCATCAATTCCTTTATCTCCTGCTTTAAACCTTACATTCTCACTGAATCAAGAGGGTTAGGCTCATACCTGCGCCATCATTAAGGCAACAAAAACACCAGCAGTGAAAGGGTATAATGGGCCTAGGTCACCAGCTGGACGTGTTGCTCGGACACGCTCCCCAACTTTCCACATGCGGGTCTGATCAATTTTACCCATTGGGAATGCAGGCAGACCATCCTTCTCCTGTAAACAAAGGTATCTTCATTATCATTTGCATAACAACAATATTACTCCAATTATATTCCAAAGAACTAGGAGGATCATAAACTTCAAAATAACAACAGTCAAAATTCAACTTAGAAGAAAAATCAGGCTTTCATCACAATAACTAAATAGTGAAAACTTATGGGCGAACGTACATAAAAGCGACGCCCGGCCAAGACAACACTACGGATCTCACTACCACTGGCCACATCTTCATAACATTCGTACAAGATGTCCATGCAGGGATAGTATGAGGCACTATATGCAGTCTCAAATTCCTTTTTGCCATCTTCAGACAAAGAGTTGTATATCTCCAGCATGCCCTATTGGGGAAAATAATAAAAACAATTACTTAACTCCGTCTCAAATTCATATACAAAAGCATGCATGAATGAAATTCAAAAGTGAGCAGAACCTTAGTCGAGATGGTCCTTGACACAATTCCAGTTACGCATTCTACGGTGTTTTTATAAGCCAAATCTTCGCTCATTCCATTTTCAGTGTATCTTCTAAACAGGGACTCCACAATTCCATGAACAGCACCAAGTAAAATGCCTACAAAACAGAGAAGCAGAGATAAATAACATGAGGAATCAAGTATACTAGATTCAAAACATAAGAAAAGAATAAAGATAGATACAATGTAGGAAAACCAAACTTACCTCGCTCGCCAAAGATGTCACTTTTGTATTCCTGCTCTAGCGTAGTAGCAAATGTGAAAGGAGAACCAAGGGCAACCGACCAGCCAAGGGCCACATCTGTGGCTCTACCATCAACATCCTGTACAAACACAACACATTTAGTATCTAAGAAATCAGTTATATGAGAGAGAGAGAGAGAGAGAGAGAGAGAGAGAGAGAGAGAGAGAGCTGACCTGGTGGACTGCAAAACTGGAATTAATTCCCGCACCATTTATCTCTTTTCCTTGGACATAAAGTCGCCTTACAGATGGACCCATCCCCTTCGGACATACAGCAATTACACTGATGTTCTTGGGGAAGTCAAGACCCACTGACTGCAAATGCCCTAAAAGGAAACCATGGGAAAGGCCCAGTATACTATTGGGCTTCATGTGTGAAAATACTTTCTCATAATTATCGGCCTGAAACATGAGACGAAATTAAACCCTGTTAGCAGATACAGGATGCGATATTACATCACAAAAGGCCTTAGACCAAAAAAGACGTGATTGCGTAATGCATTATGAATTGTACGAGGAATCAATACTTTACTTCAGTCTTAATCCTTTTTCCTAAGTGACCCATCAGTAAGTACGACCAGTAAGAAATCAGAGATGGGGAGGCAGTTGAAAATGGTAATGGATTAGCAGACCCAAAATTATTTTAGCAAAATGATCAGAAGCACCAGCCCAACTACAAGTTACAGCCAATAGCAGGAATACAATTTCCAAAGTACAATCAACAGACCTGTGCAGAATCAGAAATTAGTAGCAAAACGAGATCACTGCCCGAGACTGTTTCCCATATATCACCCAATGTCCCATTCTCCTCAGAGAAACCAGAAGCACGAGCTTCAGCAAAAGAACGGGAACCCTTCCTGAGCCCAATCTGTAGGTAGCAGGAGATATAAAATTTATATAAATTATATTAGAAATTTAGTTTACTGCAAAAAGATTGGAAAGCAATTCAATAATTAAAAAAAAAACTTTTTTTGTATGAAATGGAATTTTATGAGTAAAACAGGAAAGAAATTACCTTGACCACAATATCAGACTTTGCTTCAGTTAGAGAATCTCTTAAATTCTGAGCTTGAGCAGGTCCCTAAAGAAAAGAAAGATAGGATAAAGACCCAAATAATGTATATTGACAGACAGGAACAATATACAATTCACATTTTACAACAGTGAAAAATGCATGATGAATTACGACCCAGGTCGCCCTTATTCCTTAAGCCCAGGTTATTTGAAAGAAGCAACATCAAGCTCAAATACTATACTAGAGCAGAATCTATGTTCCATCACGCTCCACTGAAACACGACCCCATAAAACCTCATGCACCATAGTCTCAATCAGTTAAACAATCCCACACCAGCTCACAAACTATTCCAACAATCCAACCTAATTATGGCCCATCTATAACACCTCCATCCTCGCCCCATAAGCCCACTATTGATAAGAGGCAACATTAAGCTTATATACAATAACAGGGTTCTAGCTTGTAATACAGGATTCGACAGCAAATAAATGTATTGATACTAGATTATCAAACGAAATATATTTGTACAAGAGTAAAAGGAAAAAGGAAAAAAAGTGACACCTATTCAACATGCATCTCTTTATCTGCAACTCATGATAAAAACACCAACAATTTCCAGTTACTCAAAGTAAGTGGTTTCGGTTTTCATTTTCAAACTTAACCCTATGGGTGTATACATATATAGAGAGAAAATAAAAAAATAACAAAAACAATGCAGACCCCAAATATTAATCATGCAACTTCAATAAACAATACCATTTAGTACATAGATAAAAGGAAATGAGAGCAATCCATTCACCTGAGAACCCCAACCGATAACACCAATCTGTTTAATACCCTTGAAAGCATCGGGCAACAAATGGAACAGATCTCGCCCTCCTCTCACAATAAACTGCAGTCAGAATGAACCCAAACGATCATTCAGGAAACCCACATGGAAATCATTTCTCAAACAATATGAACAATATGCATGAATCAACAATAAATACATAAATGTGCATGTATTCATATATATGGAGCAATACTTTAGCATTTTGCCCTCCTTTTCCATTCCAGAGAGAGATTTTTTTTGGTCGACCATTGAGGGATTTCCTTTTTCTTTTTTACTGATAAGTATAGAGAACATGCAAACAAATGCTCAGGTGCTACAAAAAGTTTCCCTTTTCTCTTTCCCAAACTCATTTATCAAAATCCAAACATAACCTAACTACCCAATATGTAGATTAACTAAACAAACTCAGAAACGTATTTTTATAATTAGGGAGAGACCTCGTCGTGACCAGCGAGATTGATTTTCTCCTTCTTGAAAACAGAAGTCTCGAAATCGAGAGACACCGGGGGCTTAATAGTCGGCATTGACACCATACGAGCTCCGAGAGCCGAGCGGCCGCCGGAGCCACTGTTAACACCGCGTGTAACTTTGGCTCTGAGAGGGTTAAGAGTCTTCGACACCACCGAAGAAAACCCTAGGCTGGACGGAGCCTCGTGGGTTTTGGATGCTGACGACGACTGTAGAGCAGAGAGGGCTGGAGATAAGGAGGAAGTAGCCGCCGACATTGAAGACTGGTACACACAGCAAAAATGAGGCAGAGAGTAGAGAGGGTTAGAGTCGGTGCTTAAGCACGCTTTTATAGTCGAGGCGTTCGTCTGTTTGATGTGGCTAACGTGCGCC